ACTTTCATATTTAAAACTCATAAGTCACAAACATATTTTTTTTTTTATAAAAACGTATATTAATAAGACGTAACCCAGAAATAAAAACAATATAAATATTGATTTACTGTCATAAAACACATCAATTAATTTTACATTATTAGAAAAAATATTAGAAACAATAGGGTAAAACAAATATACGATGTATTTGAGTACCATAAAAAATATTTACAAAAATAATTTAAACAATTTAAGTGTTTTTTAAGCTTTAATTTTTTAAAATAATTTAAATGATGAGTATTTTAATAGAATAATATTATTAAAATAACTATCGCTTGAAGACAATATATTTTTTGTATTTATAAATAAAATTAAAATTAATTTTTAAGTTCAATTTGTTTATTTTTGAAAAATGATTAGATAGATTCAGCCATTTTTTAAGTCTATAAAATAATATACTTTTAAGTTTTACATCTGTGTAACGGACATTAAAAAGTTGAGTTAAAATTTAAACTGATGATACATAATTCATGATTATGAAGCGGGCATTAAATTTTTGGTTAATGTTTTGTTTACTGTAATGGTGCACGCGAAGCATATTATAGTATACGGCACACCCGCGGTATACCCAGTATACTAATAACCTTTTTGGAAAAAAAATATTTTAAATATCGCCAATAAAAGTTAGTATCAAATATGTCTAGACTTATTTTAACAAGATATGTTTTAGACTGAGATTAACTAAAATTATTTGGTCACGATATTTCTAGTTATCAAGTAACTTGTTATTTTGCTAAAATTGATAAAGATTTATCAATGCTGAATAAGATTATTCCATGATTATAAAAAACGTGGATCATCATGAATCATTCCTAGTTGGAGTTAGCGGATAAGAGAAATTATAGTGATGAAAGGAGACTAAGGATTATTCAGCTAATCAACATATTACAGTGCCCAGTGGTAAGAATGGCGATTGATAAGGAGTAGTTAGCCGATATTATAAAGAATAGATTAAAATAGTGATTAATAAGGTGTTTTCGTCGATTTGGTTAAAATTCTAACGTGTTTAACTCAAAAATATAATACGTTTTTGATAAATGTTTTTTTAATAAAATTATAATTTTTTTTAATTGGCAGTTAGCTCATAAAAGTAACTCTTCTAATGTATTCGCTAAAGAGGAACATATATTTACTACAATGACCTCCTAAGAAATAAGTTTATTATATCCCTACAATCTTAATGCATATTTTATTAAATTGATTAACCGTATTTTAAACATATTTTTCTTCTTACTAGTTTTAAAAACCATTGGGCATCAACAATATTAACGAAAACTAACAAATTATAAATTGTAATCAGATCTTTAAACGGTATAGTAGGGATGTATGTAAGCAGAAATTGGGATCGGAGGATAAGCTATTATTTTTTCATTTTCAAATTAAAAATTGTTTTCAAAGTATCAAAAAATGATTTGGAATAGCTGTATTCTATAGCATGAATTCTATATGGTTTAGATTTTTGAGTATATGTATTTTAAGATTTAACTTAAGTAGATTAAGTTAATTAACTCAGTTGTATAAATGTATTTATTATAATTAAATACAAGTTTAATGAAGTATTTGAATAACATTTTTTATTGTCAGGTACCACGAATTACTTAAATTTTGTCGCATCTTACACTACTTAATGTCACATTACTGGGATAGAATGGTTGGCTATCATTCGGTCAGCGTTATTATAATATGCACCGTACATTTTAGTAATTTTCCAAGCCGACTGGCGAAGAAGGGCAATCACCATTCTGGCCACCATCGAGCTTCAACAACGCAGCCCCAGGGGTCATTAGTTATGTAAATGGAAACACGTCACGTCTGAAACGACGGTGAATTGTGCCGCAGGTCCTCTCACGTCCCTGCAACGAAATAACGATTTTACCCTACACTAGAGGAGTACATCTGTTTTTTTAAAGCCTTCCGTTGCGACCAAGTCGACAACAAATTCAGATTTTTATCAAAATCAAATCAGACAACAATCGGCGTTTACATCGATTCGAATAATATATTATAGAAAATCAGACTACTATTTAAATTTATATTGATTGCAAACTATAGTTTTACATATTTTGAAATTTAATATTATAATAAAACTTATAAGAAAAGCCAGTTCAAAATACCCGCACGATGTCATGTAGACGTTTGTCCATTTAGAGCTGTGCCATAGAATTTGGCAGTTTATATTCGGCCTTCTCCAGAGAATACTACGAGTACCACGATAGGAGAGCATTGGTAAAAAAAAAGGGCAACTGTAACCTCGGGGGAAACAATGGCAGTATAAATACGTGAAGAGCGAGTGACTCATATATTTTTTTTTCTGTTCTATATGTATTTTGTTTCATGTCCCTACAAAAGGCTTACAGTCTACAAAACGAAGGAAGTTCGTCGGGGTTTACATGAATACTACTGCGACAAGTAAAAGGACGTTTAAATTGATATACTTCACTTACGACAGAGTCGCAAAAATAAAAGTCAACATTAAGTTTATCAAATAAAAAAAGTGTTATACAAAGGTCTTATATGACTATTTTATTTTAAAAAAAACACGAAAATTTCGAAGCATATTTGTGTATGCGTTCGATAGTATATAAAAGCTCTTTAAATGTTTTTATATAAAATAGTAAAACCTAAGTTCCAAGCAAACAACACAATTGTTGAATTAAAGGTATAGGTAGTCGTCATTACGATCGTTTATGTGTGTGACGAAATTCGGAAATGGCTTTATTTTACGACAAACGATCGTAAAAGCTGTGATTTAAAACGATCGACTTTAAGTCAATTAAGTAAACGACTTTATTGACATTTATGCTAATTTTAGGTGTCGTAATTTATTGATACATGCATGTTTTTTACAAAACTTAAATGCTATACAAAATAAATAAATAATTTTAATAAATAAATGAATTTTTTTTTTAAATCATTTTTTGATAGGCAATGAAATATTAATAACACAAATGCATCACTCCTAAATATTTAAATTGTCTTATAATATTTTAAATAAGTAAGAAAATATTTTCAAAACATTCGTGTTAATAATATTTTATTTCCTGCCAAAATATGGTTTTTAAATATTATACCATATGAAACATGCTTTTCAAATGGTTATTAGAATATTATAGTTTTAGAATAAATGTTTGCTAAGTAGAATACTTATGTACCTTACGATAAAATAAATCATGTTACAAACAATTACAAGTACAGTGATCATAATATTATTTTTTAAAAATTAAAGCGTTCACTCAGTATTAATGTTTTTTTCTTCAAACAACATTTCTAAGAAATTATTTTATAAAACACGTCATTCTTAATCGTATTTATACAAAATTATTTGTTATAGTTATTAGGTTAATATAGGCATTTATTTTCTTAACAAGCAAAAAGCAAACATTTTTAAAAAGCTTGGTTTTTTTAATGTCCAGAAAATATTATACTTTAACATTTTACTCCCACATATCCTAATAAATTATTTAAGTTGTATAAGAAATATAAGTTGGTTACCAAATAAATAAATAAATTTAAAGTACAGGCACATTCAAACATAAGCTGTTTTTTTTTTTTGGTATGATTATTTTAGCTTTGATTTTTTTTTTATTGATTCTTTAAATGACATATTTAAGCATCAATTGGTTTAAAATAGCAAATGTATAATTTAAAAGTGAACTTTATTAATAGGAAAAACTTAAGCCGCACTTGTGGTTATATATTATAAAAGAATTAAACATTTAAATAAACCCTTAACCACAAACATAATTTTCTATAGCAATGTTACAATTATCAACGTCTGTTTTATGCGCTAATGATAGTAACATTGCTGCCGAAATACGTAACGTATATGCTATAGATAATTATTTTGGTGGTTAAGGGTTTAATTAAATATTTTATTATTTTATTAATATACTTTTATTTAAAAATAGTTTTTAAAAACTATTATGTTTTATGTTTAAAATTTTACTACACAACCAGCATTATTATTGGCATACACGCCCGACCGGGCAATTTAATTTGAATATTATTTAAAGTATATTATGTAATAACACAAGAATAAGAAAGTATAGAATGTTCACAACTCATACACAAATATAATTTACAAAAGTCGTTAGTTTTAATATTATCGTATGTGAATTGCAATACTGCTAAATAAATAAATATATAATAATATTGTGAAACATAAAGTTATAATTTATATTTTATAATACCAATTAAACTATAAGTTATATCTCTTTTGTAAAAAAATTAAAAAATGCTTTTGATTGATTCGAAAATAAACGCCATAATTAAGAATGTCCAAATAATAATTAATAATTTTTATAATTAATATGTCAATTGTATTTGGCGCATTGGTATAAGGCGTCGAACTCGGTGCGCTAGAGGTACTGGGTTCGATTCCCGCAGCGCTGCGGAACAGACGTTGTCCGCCTTCACCTCGCATAAACCCTGTTTACTCGGGAGAGGCGCGGCGTTAAAAATGAAAAAATTGGAAAAAATATGTACATATATGGTTACATATATGGTTACCATTGGATTACTCGAGTGTGTTCATAAAAATGGATATAATATGGAAATAGCCAGGAAAAAAAATTAAGTAGAACAATTGAAAATATAAGTGGTCGAAGCAAAATATTATACGCTTTAAGACGTCTTGTAAAAAAATAGCGTTTTTGACATTTTAATTAAATCTTTTTTTAGTACTAATTTTAATTACTCCGTTTCCCTTGCTACTGAAGAACACGCGCGCTAATAATATTATTGTAACCAGCTCTTTATAAACGTAACGATTTAAATTGAGCGTTGAAAGCGTTCACGTTTTTGTTGTTGTAACACAACTCAACAACAAAACCGTTTTTACGCGGCGCGTTAATCGTGGACTTTATCGACTTTCGAGCAATACGCCTAACACTTTACCCCAAAATACCAATGACCTACTATGGATATCGATTGTGAGCCTTACCATCCGCAAACATACAAACCTGAGAAGTTTTATGTAGACAATTCATCCGGTGTATAATAAACATGCGTGCGTTGATATATTTTGTTAAATGTGCATACGAATGTAACATGATAAAAAAATTGCGAAAACCCTCGGCGGTACCGGGTGGCATTTGTAAACGGCAACTGTATACAAAATGTTTAGAGTGCGCTAGCTAAGGGTCGTCCGGTGAACTTTTGGGCCTCGTATTGATCCGGTGCCCCGCGTGTTGTGAGTGCGTGTATACTGTATATACCAAACGACGGTGAGACCGTTTGCGGCGGTTTTTGCCTACAAACGTTATTTTTCCGTCCTTCCGGGCGACGCCGCCGTTAATTGTATATATATATATATACGCACACCATAGTACCCGTGTATAATAATAGTAATAACACAATAATATATTGTTGTATGCGGGGTGCCTATACAAAACCGCGCAAGGAGGCACGTCCATGAATCACGCCCGAGAGAATAAACAAAATACACAAAAATATTCGCCGAACGTTATCAATCAATTCGATTTTGAAACGGGTTAGACCGTGTGTGTGTGGTCGCCGACGACGATTTTTTATAATAAGCATTCTACATATAAATAAAACCATTCGGCCCAGTTGTAGAATTCAAATTTCAACCGGCTAAATCGCTCTGGGTCCTAGTGATTGCCGTTAATATACAATTTTCTGATACGTTTGCCGCCAATAACCCGTTCGTGCGCTTAAAACTCGATTACATCAACATGTTCACCACCCCCGACCCTGTTGCGGCTCTAGGAGAACTCATTTCTTCGTCTCCCCCTTTGATGTTATGCACCCTCCACACACTCTTATAGCCGGCGGCGGCATTACCGAATAACACGCGAACCTGTATATCATTATTATCGGGTGACGTATATATATATATATATATGTTGTTTTTTAAATAAAATATCGTATATTATATTCATTCATGGACAATACTACATGTAAGTGGCCTCTATTACAACTCCATGCCATTTTCTATTTTCGTTATTTTTTTTATTCATAAGTCATATAATTTTTATTAGGGGTTTATACTAAATTCACGTGATATAATACTGAATTGATTGTTGTAAAATTATATGGTTAAAAAAACTCGCATTAGTGCATTGTTTAAATGATTATAGATAACCGCATAATTACACCAAACTCTAACCGAGGACAAGTTTTACAAAAGCATTTCTTTAAAAACTTATACGATAATTCGTAATAAGTGGATATTATGGGGTTTTAAGATGGCTTTTTGTTTTAAATGTTAAATTTAATTCAAGTATACAAATTGACATCTACGTTTTTTTAAAAATTAAACATAAATAATTATATTTATTGATTTTAATGTAAATACAACAAAAATCATAAAAATCGTTAAAAAATAAAATGAATTTTATTAGAAGACATGATTTTAAGACCTTAAAACTTTTCAAAGTAGGCCAAAATGCAAAAGAAAATTCTGTGTTTTTGCATGTACGGAAAGATCAACTTAAATTAATTTTCTTGGAAAATAATTGTTATTTTGTATTTTTTAAATAACATTTTTGTTTATTTTACAATGTTTTGTAATTTTTAAAAACGTTTTATATAGTATTTTCAGAAAGCAACCTTCTTCTGAATCAACTTTTTAGAAAAAATAAACTCAATTTTAATAGCTCTCTGCTACTCGAAAAATATTTTAACACCGGATTTATTCGTATTTTCTTATGGTTAACCAATTTGATTTCTTATTTTCTTAGCTGTCTGTACCGACGTTTTTTATATAAGAGTATATAATTTTAAAAAGGGTTTTAGTCTGGTACGTCGAGTGGTGAACTCGAATATAATTAAGATGATGATCTCGTTGTTATTAATCGTGTTTATATAGTATAGTTTCTGTTTTCTTATTTAAAAATACTCTATTAGCCCAAAAATATTAAAACAAACATTTTGTACAAAAAATTCTTAATATTATGATATTTATAAAGAATTATAATAAATAATAATTTTTATCTAGAAAAAACTTAAGCAACTTATACTCTCCGCGCGATAGTATATAATTCTTATGGTTAAGGGTTTTTAATATTATTTTATTAATAATTTTAAGTTGTCCTTTTAAACAATTAAAACGTTTTCTCTACATAACATAGACACGAGTACTTAGATATAATAATAATAATATAAAATGGGCATTGATACTTGTTGAAAATATCATACTCAAACATTTTAATCATATAATCCGATTATTATTGAACTTTTGAATGCTATTTAGCATTCAAAGCCGAAATGTAATTACTACAATGAGAGTATGAAGGGTCATAGGTTCGTCGTTGAGCTCAGCGGCTATAAAACACAATAATTTGTCCACGCCCCTGTTTCTGTTCTGTATACAATGCCAGTTGTTATTAAACAAATGTATGTACAGTCCCCAGATAAGACTAGTAAAGCTTGTATTTATATATTATGTGTCTGTAATAACTTTGATAAATATGATAAATGGATAAATCCCATGGGCAATCATAACGTAGTATACAAATACAAATTTATTCTTTTGTACAATTTGTTCTAGAAGTACCGTTGGCTTAAATTAGTATTGACAAATCTCCACCTAGTTACCTAATAACAACTGCGCGTCAAGTTTAAAATATGTATATTTTTAAAATATTTATTTAATATGGGAAAACTGGTGACAGTTATTGTAAACTATACATATATACCTAAATATTAATTAAGTAAAAACAAGTTTAATAATAATTAGAGAGTAAAAAAGAAGTATTAAAATGCTGGTAGGTATACATTTCAATGCACAAGTACACTGCGTGTAGTAAAATAAAAATACTAATGTGAAAATCACTCTTATTATTTGCTTAAAAAGTGTTTATTGATATAATATCAAAACACACCGTCAGACTATTTAAGTTTGAAGACAACTTATTTTTTTTTATGGCAAGTGTTTTAGAATTTGTTAAAGTTTGGTTCTTTAGTCTTCTATACAACGCAATAAATAGGCGAGCATACTCATACGGCCTTTATCTTACTTATGGTAAGGGAGAATTTTACTATTGTTCTTTTTACCTTGTCGTCCAGCTCGTCCGAAGAATTTTCGCCCGAGTTCGCTTCGACCGTCGCGTTTTGGTCTGTTCTTTCCGTGTTCAAAGTCCACCATCCTTTTGCTATAGTCTCCTTGATGTTCCCCCGCCAACCTGTAAAATGCCAAAATAAAATAAACATATTTTATGTTAATACTTCAAGTTAAATGACAGTGAAGACATAAACGAAAATCGATAGATTTACCGTACCAGCGTAATAATCAAATAATTGATCGTAGCAAGAACGTAGAAAGTGCAAAGTTTGCAAAATAATTTCATCATTTATTTCTAACGGAGAAGTGATGCTCCTCTTTAGGACGAAAACCTTACCCGACACCCACGCGCATATAACAATTAATTGGTCGTAATTGACACTCGATCTTATTATACAACACGGCAGAAACATTTTAACCACGCCGCTTCGTTATGCGTCCCTTCACCGCGATATCCCAATAAACGTGGTTTTAGGTAATCAAGTTAAGGTAATGTATTTTGCGTTATATTATATAGGTATTAGGTAGGCATTGTGATACTATTTAAAGCTAACCGTTCACTGTTTGCGTATACGAATTTAGTAAATATCCTCGCCCCAATTAAATAGAACGGTTTATGCGATATTGCAAATAGTTTGTATTGCACATAAATCATAATGTATTTCATTTTTTCGTAATAATTATTGGAACATTGAATATTGGACATTAGATAAAAGAAAAATGAAAGTGTCTGTAATAAGAATGATTTAAGATGGCGCGAGTAGTAACTAGATTAGATAGAATTAGAAATGAGTACATACGTGTTATTTTTGAAGATAAGCATACACTAAAAGAAATGCGTGTAAATAGATGAGTTCATTTGAGCGTGTTGCGAAACGATGTAAGGTTTAAGATTTAGAGTAGAGAACATTAGTGGAAAAGGTGGATCGAAGATAAAATGAGGTTTGAAAAAAACTAAAAAAGAATGATATTTGTAGTATACTAAAATGGACAAAAGAGATTAGAGTAGAGGGGATTATAGTTAGAGGTGGACCAAATAAGATGTATATGGGTGTAATAATATATAGACAGATCGTTTACATATTTTGAAAGGAGTCAAATTCGGTTGCTAGTTCATTTTATATGGCGATTCAAACATTTAGTTTAGTTATGAAAAGTATTATTCCTATTAATGATTTTTATACAAATATGCTTAAAAGAACTCATATTATTGTACATTGGTAAAGTAGTTTTGACTAAACGCTTTATTGTACACAGTCCCATTTAAAATTTAGTCATTTTATTTATGAACAAGATCAAATTAATTTAATTAATAATTAACTCGTATTGTTAGTTGGAGAATACATTTTAAAAAGTGGTATTCACAAATTTAAATAAGTAGGTATAGGTAAGTAATACCAAATAAGAATAAAACAATTTTTTAAAATTTTTTTTCAAGTCAAAATTGTGTGTAAAAAAATCACTTTTTGGACTAATCCCCTTTCATAAATTATCGGATCGCTTATAATATCATTATTTGATAGAGTACCATGAACGAATAAAAAATATAGCAGAGAGACACATAAAATATTATATCGCGATAACGTTGTGTATTATACATTTTTATTGTCAAGATAAATCTCGGTATATGGGCTCAATTACATCTGTATTTCGCCGGCGCGTTGTGTCTTCTGGCGAAATGCATTAAGACAAAGGATGTTTTTATTGTAACGACGGTGGTCGTCCCGCCCGTCTTCAAACAAATCCGCATAAAATCACCCGGAGCGATAAAAACCGGAAGGCCCGTTACGGTTTCTATTTCCGGTTAATGGGCCATTTGCTTACCGACCAACGCCAGCATCGCGCGGCTGTATATACATGTACGTCGAGTAAGGGAGCAACGCGCTTCTCGTGTCTCTCTTCTCCTGGGCGGTCTGTTCGCTCTTTACTACCACCGGTGGGAATCAGGTGGTATATTTTTTTTTTCTGAAATAAAAACGTCTTACTTCCGGCCGCACATCAATCACTCCGCCGCGGCCGGTCGGAGGTCACGAATACGTGTGCGGCGGTGCCGG